CAAGACGATCATATCGTACAGAACGAACAACGCTGTCGTTACGGGACGATCAAAAATTTTAACTCGTTTTATAATGGGCAGTTTGAAAAATCGTCCGCCCACCATTGAACCGACATGTATTTGGTCTGGCGACGAACCAAAGGTTCGTGTATCTCCAAACGAAACGATGTTCATTCTATTAAAAAAACGTCTATCCAATTTAACTACTACATCAATCGTCCCATTCGTTTCGAAAATATTTCGTCCCGGATTGATCGATACAATTAATGAACTCACATTAAATAAAAACTGCTCTTAGATGGGTTCAGAAATCAGACAGACAAATATATAAGAAGATAACATTTTACACCACATCGTCCCGTACAAAAAAATTTGTCTGGGCGATGATGACACTCAATTTTCATTTTCACACTCAAAACAAAAATGGAATTACAAATAACAAGACAACCATCTAGAATACACACCAAAAATAAAAATAAAACAACAAACAAAATAAAACAAAAAATACAATTAAACACAAAAACCAAAATATCAATTTTGCAGAAAAACATTTCTTATCTAAAGCATTTAAATCAATACACTCACAAGCCTAGTTCTTAATGTACTTGAAAGTATCAAATGCTAAAGGTTTTTGTCTACAACAAACCAAAGAGACATGTCTCAGTTATCTGAAAATCATGCGTTATGGCTCTCACTCTCCATCCTTAGGATACAGATACCTTATGAAACTCAGCGCAGTTTCGTCCTTCACTACTTAAACACTTATGTCAAGTTTTGGCTCTGAATGGTTGAATAGGATGTTTTGAAATGCCAATAGCACTAGTATTATCATTAATAAATTATATAGTGCCTATTAGTTACTCCCTACCAATCAATCAACTATTATTTTAAACCAAAGTAGTACTTGTGCCAACATAACTTCCCTAGTTGCAATGTTATCTCGCTTCTGCAGCTAGATCAGGGCCACTGAATTGTTTTCTACTAGGACCGATTGAAAACTAATGAATTTCCAATGAATTGAATATGTTCCAGAAGTGCTTTTCCTATCCACTCTATAGCCTGCAAAATCAGAGTCTTGAATAACCAATAATTATTCAAATGAAGAGCTAAAAACTTTGGTACCAAATTCCTAAGTCTGAATTCCTAGTAAGTCATCTTAAAATTTCTTTTCACTGCGTTCAAATTGTGATTCTTTTGGATCAGATTAAAAATCTAGCATACAAGCAAACACTAAATATGATATCGGTCTGCAGCAGTCAAGTTAAAGTAAAGATCCAATAATCCCCTAAATTTTCTTTTGATCAAACAGATTTTCCCTAGCGTCCTTATCCAACTGAAACTGAGGAAACTCATTGGTGTACTAACATGTTTAGCATTATCCATTTCATTATTTTTGAGATGTCCTTAAAACATATATATTAGTTTGACTAAGAAATGTACCTTCCTCAAGTTACTTAATGGATAAAGCCTAAAGTAATTTAAGGTCTCCCATAGACTTCATCTCAAATTCACTACTCAGTTGGTTTTAGAAAAAAACATTCATTCACAAGATTTTTATTTAAGAAAATCCAAAATGATATCATTCACATTAAATTTGAAACAATGAGTATATCCTTTTCTAAATTTTCTTTAAAAAAAAAGATTTTTATCCCACACTTTTCTTTTTAAAAGATCTTTCAGTAGTAGGAAGGTGCTTAACTCTCTCCATACCAAAGCCCTAATGTGCCTGCTTTAATCCATATAATGGCATTTTTCAATTTTGAAATATAATTTGGTAATTTAGAATTTGTAAAACCTAGAGGTTTATTCTACAAAAACATCCTCTTCAATTACGCCTATAAAAGGCAACTTTTCACATCCATTTAAACAATTGAAACGTCTTAAAATCAAGCAAAGAGCTAACAAAAACTCTAATTGCTTCAGTGATATAGCCAGGGGCAAAAGTCTCCTCAAAATCAATCCCTCAATCTGAATACCCCTTAGTAATCTAATCTACCTTATTTCTAATGACTAGATTCCGAGTCATTCATTGATTTTTGATACCCACTTAGTCTACCAACTATTAGCTTTGATCTTTTGGCCTTGAGTTATTCCCAAATTACTATTCTTATATAATTGATTCACACTCTTTTAGTCCAATACCAACAACTTTCAAAAATAGTGCAGATGGTTTGATCAATTAATTGTGGTCATAATTGAATAAAGGCTTAACTATTGCTCCCTTGTTATAATCCATCGCT